TTGTTTTTTAATTTGGCCAGCGGTTATGAAAACATGAATAATCATTTCTTTTAATGCGGTGCGCTGTCGCCCTTTCTACATAAATATCAGTCAAATCATGTAATGTGAATGTCGTACAGTCTTGCTCGAGACTAAAAAAACGAGTTGAAAGCATACCGAGCCGCGGAAGAGACACTGTTTCTCAAGCGCTTTCCGCGAGCGCGATTTGACACGGACAAATGCGTTTCATTCATTCGTTCCTAACCACTCATACCCCACTCCACCCCATATACACACGGTGAACCACAAGATAAAACAAGAGCTGTGCTTGGTGTGATTTCTTTATTCTTCAGTTATTATTTATATGAGCACATTAACAATACATCAAGAGTCTTTTTAAACTATAGCGAATGAATAATTGTTCGGTTCCTTAGTTGCTCCACATACTCCTTGGCCTGGTCGAATACTGTCTTCTGCTCGACTTTGGGCGGGACCCCTTCAACGAGCTTTACAAAGTAGTGGCAGTGCACTTTGTCCATGATGCCAAACATGCCATGTCCATGATAACAAATACGCTTTAGATATTTTCCCTTGGCAGAGAATGATTCAGCTGTTGAAGTCAGACCAAAGAAAATATAATTCAAATGTTACAATTAATGATCTACATTGAAGTCCAAGAGCCATGTTTATTAAATGACATTCAATAAAGAAAATAAATACATTAGCCAAAATGAAATATAAAAGAAGCATCCATAACATATAACACATAAAATACTGCCTTTTCATGTAATAAATATAGATTTATTTTGCGTCTTAAACAAAACCACCATTTTTTTTCTCCTTAAAATGTTTATTAATTAATTAATTTATTTATTTTTATTTTTTACTGAGTCTCAAAAGGTATCATTCAAGACTTTTGAATTCTAAACTGGCTAGCTTGCAAACACAAAAGTATTTGGTTTGAGAAACTTTTTTCTCTCTCTAGTGTCTCAAAAAGCAAATTATTTTTGGATTATTGAAATGTTTAAACCCCATGGACTGTTTAAACTCCAACGGCACCATGAGGGGGCATTTGCAGGCCATGCCCCTCCAAATAAGTTATTGTGCCTCCCTCCACTCACTATTTAAACCGAGGGGGACCAGAGCTGGCTGACGAAAAAAAGATGCTTATTAAAGGCTAACTTTATTTTAATGCACAAATAAGAAAACATAACTCCACAAAAAAAAAAAGTACTAATAATTTTCATGTTAATGTTTGGTATGGATGAGACTTACCAATATATAGATTTGATTTGTATTCAACATTGTGATTCCTGACCCCCATGTCCTGAGCTTCCAAGAGAACCTTTAACACAAACAGATAAATGAAACTCAGTATAGCTTTCGAAACACACTTTAGATAGTGTGTGATACTGTACAGTCATGGCCAAAAGTTTTGGCAGTGACATAAATTTTGTGTTTTGCAAAGTTTGCTGCTTAAGCTGTTGTGGTGTTCATTCACATTTTTTCTAGATTATTGTGTAGAATGATCAGATGCATTTTAAATAATTGCTAAAAGCTTCATTGGCCAAAAAAAGAACTTTTCACAAAAAAAATTCACTGTTTTTTTGATCCTGACACAAAATGACACGGCCTGGTGTCAGAAACACGTGCAGCCATCATCGCTTTGCATCAAAATGGCCTCACATGCAAGGAAATTGCTACAAAGAATATTGCACCTGAAAGAACCATGTACCGGATCATCAAGAACTTCAAAGAGAGAGGTTCGACTGCAGTGAAGAAGTCTTCATCTGAAGAAGTCTTCATCTGCACTGCAGACGTGAGAGCATCTGCACGCACAGTGAGGCCAAGACTTTTGAACAACGGCCTGGTGTCAAGAAGGGCAGCAAAGAAGCCACTTCTCTCCAAGAAAAACGTCAAGGACAGACTGAAATTCTGCAGGAAGTACAAGGATTGGACAGCAGAAGACTGGTGCAAAGTTATTTTCTCTGATAAAGCTCCCTTCCGACTGTTTGGGACATCTGGAAAATCGATTGTTCGGAGAAGAAAAGGTAAACGCTACCATGAGTCCTGTGTTGTGCCAACAGTGAAGCATCCTGAGACCATCCATGTGTGGGGTTGCTTTTCAACCAAGGGAGTGGGCTACAAATACTGAAGCAGCAAACTTTGCAAAACACAAAATTTGTCACAGCCAAAACTTTTGGCCATGACTGTATGATCAAATTTTTTTCACTGCAAATCGGGGATGCAGACTCATCATGGGTAAAATAATAATTTAAATATTTGTTATAATTTTCTACCTCTGCCAAAATTCACTTTAAATGTTCACTTTCATTCATGAATTGTCTCCTGGTGGGAAACAAAGACTTAAGATGAAAATTACATGAAATTACCATTATATCCAGTGGATGGCAGCAGAGGATCACCCATTAGCTCAGTTGCCATTTCAACGCCATAGTTTTTCTCAAGTCTTGCTTTTGGATTTATTATCTATTTATATAGCCTGAATGCACTGTAAGTCGCTTTGGATAAAAGCATCTGCTAAATGCATAAATTATTATTATTAAATTATTAATTATTATAAAATGACTATTAAGTATAGCAAGTGCAGGAAGTCACAAAGTCTCATGTCATTTAGAAATAAATAAATAAATAAATAAGCCCAGACACCAACAACCTAGTAGGGTTAATTATTTAAATACTTAACTAGTTAACTAAAAATTAAGTTAATTATTAGTGGTATAATAATTAAATAATGCATAAAAATATTTTGGCTTTTTTTAAAATTTAATTTAAAAACCAAATTTTTCAAACATTGCCTAAAAAAAGGACACATCAAAAGGAGTGCTTTAAGGTATCTTTACCTGTGTAGAAGCTGCTAAAGGCAACACAGACTTGTTGCTGCTGTAGTTTTGTTTCTCTGAATTTACTCTGCATCACTTAAAAGCACAACTCTGTTTTTGACATTGGCTTGTCAGATAGTTCGTTCCGTCATTGCTACAGGTATCACCATCAATCGCAGATCAATTTGGCGGATTCACTCGCGCAATTTTTTACACTCGCGTTTGTCATTCCTGAAACAGTATACGTGGACAGTTTGGTCCTCTTACACTTTTCTTCAAACTGTGAATGAAGTAAAAACCGAGCAAAGGGCGCTTCCCTTATAGCGTAACTGACCGAGCTTACTCACGCGGAAACTCCTGATATAATCAATAACTAACTATACAATGAATATCTTATTTACATTGTGTATGCTTTCTTTTTGTCTTGTTATAATAGGAAGATATGTGAACGTGTAGATAGAACTACGCAAACTTGCGAAAAACAAAAATGAGATCAGAGCGGATTCTGACTAACCTACAGTAAACACCTCTGATTGGCCATTGCTTTCAACAGAGATGCCTGTGATTGGCTACAATACTCAACGCTGCGAAACACGTTGTAAATAGAAACTTTCTGTTTTGTAATTCGAAACTAGAGCGTGCACACAAAAAACACACATGAGGGTTTGAGAGCGGGTGACTGAGAGGGTACAGAATTGAGTTGGTACTACTGGAACTGTAAATAGTTTCCACCTACTGGAAAGTGTGAAGCGCAAAATGAATAGAAAGTTTAGAAACAAGTGATACTTATTAAAAAAAAAAAACGGAAAAAGAAACTGGTATCCTAAATCCTATTAATCAATTAAATAATTTTCCTTTAAATAAATAACTAATTCGCGATATATTCTTGATTGTTTAGGTCCATCACCTAACAAAACTTGACAGATCATTTATGTTTCAAATATCTTAAAGCTTGACTTAGTTGGAAACGTTCTTTCATAAGCCTCACATTTTATAAGTACATGTTCTACAATTTCTGTTAACCCACATTTGTCACAATTTCCATTTTCATGTGTTCCTGTTCTATGTAAGCACTGATTTAATAAACAACGACCAATACGCATTCTTGCTATTAAAACGTCCTCTTTCATGTTTCCAAATCTTCTTCGCTCTGAACCAACTTTTTCTTGTATGCAGTGTAAATACCTTTTGTTCCTTCTTTCCATTCATTCTGCCATATTTCTTGTATTTCTTTCACTATTATCGTTTTTATTTCTGTTTTACTTAATGCCACTTCAATGTCTATTTGTGAATGATTTAATGCCTGTTCAGCCAGATGATCAGCCTCCTCATTTCCTTTCACACCCATATGTGATGGTACCCACACGAAATTTACCAGAAGTCCATACTGTCTTTATATTGATTATCACAGATTCTTCTTCTTCTTCTTCTTGGTTTTTCTTCTTCTTGGTTTTTAGCCGCTGTTAAAAACCAAAACCACCTTCTGCTCCGGAGTGTGGATCAGAAAATAAGTTTACATACTAAATCACCCGTTCTCCCTCCTTTATCCTGACACACACATACCCACACACGCACACCTCACCCTGCCCTGCTTTATAATAATAATAATAATAACCCTAATAATAACAACAACAATAACCTTTTGAGGTTTTATTGGCGGTTGACAAACAACAAAATGGCGTATTACCGCCACCAACTGGTATGGAGTGTGGACTATAATGACTTACTCCCTCCCTTTTTTATATCCTCTCAGATGTCCGATTCGTGAGCGAATCGTTCTTTTGATTTGGATCTTTTTAGTGAGTCGGTTGAACCGACACCTCCGTTGAAACGAGGTGCTCCGTTCTCATCCACGCTGCTACATGGATTTAATGGTTTTAGAGTTTTAGAGCAGGTACTATGCCACGCTGCGATATCATGGACTGACTCGAGATAATGTAAAACAGATACTTATATGAATCGCTAAAGTGGTGTTTTGAACTACCTGGATGAACAGACTGTCGGAAATGAGAATCGGTTGAATTTGTTACGACGCTTTGCTTTACGGCAAATGTTACTTCCGAATGAGTTTAAAGTTATACGTTTTATTATTATTGGTAGAATTGTTTCCAACAAAAATATTCTAATTATAAATAAGGCGTATAATATATATTTCTACCAACATATCTATTGAATATGTCGGTATTAAACAAAGATTTGACTTTGTCAATGGTAACACTGTCCCTTCTCGCGTTCCGTATAATTTTTTACAGCACACGCTGATATTCGGCTGCCGGTGTGTTTTCGGCAGCATGAGTAGATGTGAGACGTAGACTTCACTGTCACTATCTGTGAATTTATTCTCTGATCTTGATGCGGCGGTCATTTACTCTTTATAATGCACCAAAGACATCTGCCAGCCTCTCCAAACTGGTACTGTTCACGCTGCAGTGACATAAATGGAAAGGGAGTACTGGGTTTTGGAGCAAAGAATACCATCTATCTGCTAAATGTGACGGCATCCTCTCCAGCAGTAACAGGTATGAGCTCAGGATGCTTTAATTCAATGCTTTGCTTTTGCAAAATCACATCGATCTGATCAGACCTTCTTCCTGCAGGTGAACTCACTGGGCACACTGAAAGAGTTTCTGGTTTTGCATTTTGCCCCCATGATGGACAAGAGCGCATTTGTGCAAGCACTTCAGATGATAAGACAGTCAAAATCTGGGATGCTGGGCAGAAAATTCTGTTGAAAGAGCACAATGTCCACCAAGTGAGTGAATATCCTACCTGTCATGCTTAAAGTGTTGTGACTGGCTCACAGTTTGTTCCCATAACAAGTTTTGTAATATATTACAGTTTTCTTTCTGCCCTTTTCCACAGTGGTAAAAGTGTAAAAACTTCTGGACTCAACAATAACATTTTACCTTGCCCTGACAACAGTTAAATTGCCTCCAAATTAAATAAATTTTATTTTTGTCAGTATATTTAAAATGTGGTTAAATGAATAAAAATAATCATAAATACAGAGTAACTATAATAGTTACTCTATAAATAATTATTTATACTTTTCATTAAACAATTTCACTTTTTTTTTTTTTAGATTTAGATTTTTATTTTGCAGTTAACATCAGGAAATGTTTGCATCTATACTGTTACTCCATGACAGCCATGAAATCATAACTTTGATGTAAATGATGGCGTACAATGCAAAACATAATTTGTTTCTAATTTTCTATCCATATCACAAATAATTTGGACAACCTGTTACCTGTCATTCTGCTACAAAATTTCACCCTGGTGAGGTGATATTTTGCAACAATGTTAAGGCCGACATGAAACGGAAATTGCCATCGTCTTTTCACCCCTATTGTGATGAGAAAAATATTCTCATTTACAATATAGCTCCATGACAGCCATAAACTCATAACTGCTTTTGCTGCTTATTTAATTAAGCAGAGTTTGCAACAACGTTTAAAATCATCATGAAACAGAAATCTTTTCTTTTTTTTATGATTGGGACTAATTTCCAAGTGAAACGGTGTCTTGAACGAGAAACCGTGTAGGACGGCACTTGATTTTTTTCTCCCCCCATTTTGATTACAAATTACAAGGGCATGTGATTTTTTTGTTTGTTTGTTTGTTTGTTTTTTTAAATAATGATGTGCATGAATAAATAATTTATAATAAACACTGCAATATTCCATAAAATGTATGAATTGTCATTTTTGATTTCATGGTGACTTTAAATATATTACAAAATACCAACTTTAAGTTTGCAAGACATAAAACACATTCACATTATCAGCAAATGATAATCATGTTGACTGACCTACCATATGTGTTCATGTTTGAACAGAGCACCATCTCTGCAGTCCACTGGTCTCCGGTGCAGAAACTTCTGCTAGTCACAGGAGATGAAAAGGGCATTGTGGTGTGCTATTGGTTTAGCAGTAATGACACCCAGAGCTTCTTCCCTGAACCTCGAACAATCTTCTGCTTATCCTGTTCCCCACATGAGGAAAACTACATCGCAGTGGGGTAAAGCCTCATTGTATTAATATATAATATGTTTTGGTTGTGATTAGAGAGAGCTCTAGACTCATCAACGGTGCATGTTAACTGTTTATGCTTCCTCTTAAAGGTACAAGGATGGAATGATAGTAGTGATAGACATCAGTAAGAAAGGGGAGGTGATCCATCGGCTGAGGGGGCATGATGATGAGATTCACGCATTGGCATGGTGTCCTCAACCCAGAGAAGAGCCTCTATATGGGCGATCAGAAGACAAAACAGGTAATCAAGAGATGCTTAAAGATCCATTTTGCCTCAGTCAGTTATTACCATTATGTTATTAGGAGTCACACCACATGACATTTCACAACCTGAACTAACCTTGCCTTGTCATAGAAGGTTAAGTATCTGCTAATTATTGACCTTGAAATACAGTTATGAGGGTCTGCAGGGTTCTCATCATGATATGATTTCCTGTTTTATGTTGTTGTTATTTTTTTCTACATGTTAGTGTTGCACCACGTGACTTTGATTTGGCCAAAAAAAATGTTTTTTTTCTAATATTAATAAACAGTGAAGTTTGTTAAAATATGTTTTTAAATAAAGACATAATATAATATATAACAGGGTTCCTCAAATCTTGCCCTGGAGGGCTAATGCGCTGCAGAGTTTAGCTCCAACCCTGATCAAACTCACCTACCTGTGATTGTCTAATGATCCTGAAGACACTGATTAGCATGCTCAGGTGTGTTTGATTAGGGTTCGAGCTAAACTCTGCAGGAAAGTGGATCTCGTGGGCCAGATTTGAGGATCCCTGATATATAATATAAGGATATGACAATTTTTTAAAAGGGGACATTAGATGCCCATTTTCCACAAGCTGGTATGATTCTTTATGGTCTTCATGAAATGTCTTCATACTTTGGTTAAAATTCCTGAATGGTTTTGTAAAACAACACCCTTGTTACCTTGTCAAAAACAGCTCTGTTCACAGTGAGCCATTTCGGTGCATGTCTCTTTAAATGATAATGAGCTACTGCTCATCCCGCCCCTCTCTTCCATTTTTGTGTATTCAGTGGTGCGTTACCATCAAAAATAAAACTAATCCACTGTGTCCTCAGTGGCTCTGATGTCGGGAGAAAATGGAAGACTCTTATGTTCACCTTTACATCCAACTACAAAACACCTGCATTGCTTACGCGACATTGTTATCGCTACAGCTGCTCGAGGGTGGAAATATGCTAATACGGGAGAGTCCGTCAGCAGTCGTGGGCGGTAGTGCAGTATGATGTCATACTGCTCAGAAAATCAGAACTACAGGGGGTTTGTGAGTTGAAGAAAACCTTATAATTCATTTAATAACATTAAAATTAACAAATGGTGCTGCACAGTTAATTGAAATAAAATGGACATAGTAATATGTCTTATAAAATCATTATTATCAAATTAAATTATGCTGCGTTTTTAATTTATATATTTAGTATATAGTACTGTATGTTCTACAGCATATTTCATAATAAAGAGCATTACCATGGTTATTAAAGTTAACTCAAATTAAAACCATAAAAAAACTTTTGTTACTTGCAATAAAATAAACTTTAAATAAATTAAAATAAAGTAATAAACTTAAACTTATTTTATTTTAGCTAGTTGCCGAAGAAACATTACACATTTTAATTTAGCTTAACTTGATGTACTAAAATAACTAAAACAAAACTTGTGAACAAAGGAAGGAACGTCAAATATGTCAATATCAATAATATGTAATATGTTTAAAATCTCAGGGGGACTTCAGCTGACAAAAAAAGATTAGGAACCCCTGAAATAATAGAGAGGACAAAAATGATAAGTGAAATGTCATTGATTCTTTCCATAGATGGAAGCAATGGGGTGACAGAAGCAGCAGAAATGGGGTGTTACCTGGCATCAGGTAGTCGAGATCAAACCGTGAGGATATGGAGCACAGCCAGAGGAAAAGGTGACAGAGAGATACTCATTACCCAAAGCTTGCACAAACAAAACTGGTTTATAGTAGCTTTCAGGTGCAGGGTCATTTAGGTCACAGTGTGTCTCCTTTCAGGTGTAATGACCCTGAAGCTTCCCTTTCTGAAGAGACGAGGATCAGGAGTTGATCCAGTGGTGAAGGAAAGACTCTGGCTGACTGTCCATTGGCCTAAGGGGCAACCTTCACAGATTGTGTCCAGCTGTTTCAGGTATGGTTGTATAGATGAGTTGCCAAATGGTTATTTTGTGTCAGAAGATATTTTCTTGTAAATGAACATGAGTTGACTCGATGTGAATGTTGGCGTGCAGCGGTGAGATCATAATGTGGGATCTCATGAAGTCAGGCAAGCAGAAGTGGAGTCTGCTGGGCAGTTCCTCAGATGGACAGAATCACAGCCGTATCGTCTTCAACATGAGCTCGTTTCGCTCAGGGGACAGGGAACTTCTGCTCAGTACCTCAATGGACAGAGAGGTGAGACCTTCCTCCATTAATACGTGCTTGTAAGCTGTTTTCAGAATCAGAAGGAGCTTTATTACCAAGTATGTTTACACACACAAGGAATTTGACTTGGCGACAGGAGCTTCCAGTGCAGAAGAAAGTACACACATAGTGCAAACATACATGATAGTGCAGACATACATAGAATTACACAGTAAAGATGAAATAACACTAATATAAGAAAAACAGAAAAATCAATAATGCACTATATACAGAAATAGAAATATAGGGGGAAAAAACATAATTGTTTAAATAAATACAGATATTTTATTTACAAGTGTACCGTTTATGTTGTTTACAATATACAATTTCCAGATACTATGTATAAAAGTGTCATTTATAATTTTTAATTGTTCAGGCTGAATATGGCCTGCGGGGGAAAAAAACTGTTATTATGCCTGGCTGTTCTGGTGGTCGGTGCTCTGTATCGCCGACCAGAAGGCAACAGTTCGAAGAGAGAGTGTGCTGGGTGTGTGGGGCCCAAAGTGATTTTACCAGCCCTTTTCCTCAATATGGAGGTGTAAAGATCTTGGAGGTTGGGCAGGGGGGAACCAATAATCCTCTCCGCAGTCCTGACTGTCTGTTGTAGTCTCTTGATGTTTGATTTGGTAGCTAACTCAAACAGTTATAGATGAACAGGATAGACACCGTGACGGCCGAGTAGAACTGTTAAGCAGAATCGTCTCCATTGTGGATGAGGCCGATGATGGTAGTGTCATCTGCGAATTTCAGGAGCTTGACAGAGGGGTCTTTAGAAGTGCAGTCATTTGTGTACTGGGAGAAGAGCAGTGGTGATAGCACACATCCCTGAGGGGTGCCAGTGCTCATCGTGAGAGTCTTGGATGTGAGTTTACCCAGCCTCACTAGCTGCTGCCTGTCTGTCAAGAAGCTGGTGATCTACTGACAGATGGAGGTGGGTACGGAGAGCTGGCTGAGAGAAGGTCAGGCATGATGGTATTGAAGGCTGAACTGAAGTCCACAAATAAGATCCTTGCATAATTCCCAGGTCTGTCGAGGTGTTGCAGGATGTAATGCAGTCCCATGTTGACTGCATCATCCAAAGAGCTGTTTGCGTTGTATGCAAACTGATGAGGATCCAGCAAGGGTCCAGTGATGTCCTTCAGGTAGGCCAAGACCAGTCTCTCAAATGACTTCATGACCACAGACGTGAGAGCGACAGGTCTGTAGTCGTTAAGTCCAGTGATTTTGTTTTTTTTGGGGACTGGAATGATGGTGGAGTGTTTGAAGCAGCAGGGAAATTTACACAGCTCCAGTGATCTGTTGAAGATCTGTGTTAAGATGGGGGCTAGTTGGTTAGCACAGACTTTTACAGGCCGTTTACACTAAAACGGGTTTCAAAGTGCAAGATTTTGAAAACGCCAACGTTGTCGTTTCCGTGTAAACACCCAAAACAGGAATTTTTGGAAACGGTGAAATCATGCGTGTGCGTAGTACGTGTTAGGTATGTAGACATGCGCAGTGGGAAAAACTTTCCGTTTTTGACTACATCGTTGTCGTGTAAACGTAGCCTTAGACAGGCAGGTGAATCACCGTCTGGGCCTGAAGCTTTCCTAGACTTCTGTCTTCTGAAGACCCAGTTCACATCCTCTACACATACCTTAAAGGGATAGTTCATCCAAAAATAAAAATTTGATGTTTATCTGCTTACCCCCAGGGCATCCAAGATGTAGGTGACTTTGTTTCTTCAGGTTAGCACAGACTTTTACAGGCCGTTTACACGAAAACGGGTTTCAAAGTGCAAGATTTTGAAAACGCCAACGTTGTCGTTTCCGTGTAAACACCCAAAACAGGAATTTTTGGAAACGGTGAAATCATGCGTGTGCGTAGTACGTGTTAGGTATGTAGACATGCGCAGTACGTGTCAATTTTAAAAGGCAAGCGCGAACAACATAAACAACAATGGCGGAGTACATGGTACTAAACGCAAGGGAAAAAACTTTCCGTTTTTGACTACATCGTTGTCATGTAAACGTAGCCTTAGACAGGCAGGTGAAACACGTCTGGGCCTGAAGCTTTCCTAGACTTCTGTCTTCTGAAGACCCAGTTCACATCCTCTACACATACCTTATTTACACAATTACAATTTATTATTTTTATACATTTTATAATGACTTAAAAAATCATAGTTATTCCAAATTATCATTCCAAACAAACTAAAATAGGGTAGCCCTTACCCATTTTATTTTTGTCTGTTTATCATTCTCAGAATTTCTTGATTCAAACCATTCGACCCATTGTCATTTCAGATTAAGTGTTGGGACCTGGCATCTCTGGAATGCTGTTGGACTCTGCCCACTCTGGGTGGGTTTGTGTACTGTCTCAGCTTTTCTCCAGTGGGCACCGGCTGCCTGGCTCTAGGCATCGGAGACAGCATGATCCGGGTGTGGAACACCTTGTCTATTCAGAACCAATATGACATCAAGACATTCTGGCAAGGGATCAAATCTAAAGTCACAGCCGTGAGTCAGATGTCTTTAATTCACAGTTATAATTCCCTCAGTACCATTCAGTTAGTTTAAAATCAAGGCCATAAATGCCTTTTTGCTTCCATCTCTGTTCCAGTTGGCATGGCATCCACTAAAAGAGGGCACTTTGGCGTTTGGTACAGATGACGGTAAAGTGGGCATCAATGAGGTTTACTCTAACAAGTAAGAACAACAGATATACAGTCAATTTGTCGCTGATTTTGGTCTGTATATATGCATATGAAATATGAAATGTTGCGATTTCTTGGGTTCATTTGGATGCAAGATTCAGTATTATGTTTAATGCAGTGATGGAAAAAATTATTTGATCCCCTGCTGATTTTGTACGTTTGCCCACTGACAAAGAAATGAACAGTCTATAATTTTTAAGGTAGGTTTATTTTAACAGTGAGAGACTGAAAAAAAGTTATTGTTATACTTTTTTTCATATAAGTTATATAAGTTATACTTTTTTTCAGTCTCTCACTGTTAAAATAAACCTACCTTAAAAATTGAGTAAATTGATTTGCATTTTAATGAGTGAAATAAGTATTTGATCCCCTACCCCTATGTGTCTTTTATACAGGTAAGGAGCTGAGATTAGGAGCACTCTCTTAAAGGGAGTGCTCCTAATCTCAGCTTTTTACCTGTATAAAAGACACCTGTCCACAGACGCAATCAATCAGATTCCAAACTCTACACCATGGCCAAGACCAAAGAGCTGTCCAAGGATGTCAGGGACAAGATTGTAGACCTCCACAAGGCTGGAATGGGCTACAAGACCATCGCCAAGCAGCTTGGTGAGAAGGTGACAACAGTTGGTGTGATTATTCACAAATAGAAAAAACACAAAATAACTGCCTCCCTCGGTCTGGGGCTCCATGCAAGATCTCACCTCGTGGAGTTTCAATGATCACGATAACGGTGAGGATTCATCACAGAACTACACGGGAGGATCTTGTCAATGATCTCAAGGCAGCTGGGACCACAGTCACCAAGAAAACAATTGGTAACACACTACGCCGTGAAGGACTGAAATCCTGCAG